CGGCTGGCAGCAGTGCTGCCACGTGCCCGCCTGGCACCCGCACAGAGCGCTTTTGTACTCAGCTTCAGCCATATAGGTAACTCAGTCGGACTTTGCATTCCCGAGGGCTCAATATACCTCTGTCTCAAAAAAACCCTAATTAACCAGTCCTTCCACTCTGCAAGGTGTGGGGCTGGGGCCTGCGGCAGTGGCTAGGCTGGGCTGCAGCAGCCAGGGCAGGGCTGGAGGGGGCACCCCAGTGCCCCACACGATGCCCGCCAGCACGGCCCAAATGCTGCTGCTCCTCCAGCCTGCACCTACAGCGAGCTGCCCGCCCTCAGCCCCCCACCCAGTCCCTCCTGGCACCACACCTCCCTGCCAGAGCAAAGGGCAGAGGACATGGGGCTCGTACCCTCCCCGAGGACCACCTTTCCCCAGACCATCCCTTCAGAAGGATACTGAAGACGAGGGTGAGGAAGGCCACAGCGGCAAGGATGCTACGTAAGTGGCCGGTCCAGTACTGCCCGCGGGTTTTGGCCATGCGGTAGGTGAGGATGGACTGCAGGAGCAGGAACAGCATGCTGGTGGGAAAGGCCACCCCTGCCCCAATGTAGTGCAGCACCTTGGCATGATCCACCTGTGGGGAAGAGACCATCGGTGCCGGCACCCTGGGACGCTCCCCTGGCACGGCTCTGCTCCAGGGGGTGGGCTCGTGCCCAGGCAGAGGCGCAAGCAGTGCCAGGAGTGGGTCCAGGCAGCTCGCCCTGTGCCCAACTCCTGGCTGAAGAGCAGATTTGGACCCACCGTCTGCTGCTGGGATCTCAAAGCGCTTCTGTTTCTTTCATCCTTGGGGTGGTAGCTCCTGAGCCCCTTGAGCCAACAGCCCTGCCGTGCCCGGGGGCATGGAGCAGGGGCTGCCCTCTGACCCGAGCAGCATCTGGGGCTGCCTGCACCCCCTCCTGGGGGGTCACAGCCCTGCCTTGAGCAGAGCCGCTGAGCCACAGCTGGGGCACAAGGGGGATCAGGGCCATCAAAGCTTCTCCTGGGGTTCGGGGCCGGC